ATTCTGTGTTGCTTCTTTACAAGAACAGAGTTATGAACCCACTCATTACAGAGTCTAAAGCTTTACAGAATACCTCTAATTATATTCTATAAGCCTATTTAATTCTTAAACCTGCAATAACAGATTTATTAGGTGCTTGTGGGCAAAAGGCTGAAAAAAGTAAACACAAATCCTGGCATATTATCACCTTTAAAGATAAAATGAACCTGTAGCATACAGTTGCCTATAGATTGAAGGTAAACTGTGTGTTTAATCATGCATACATTTTAAGTTGTGTTTGTGTCCACAGATAAATAGAAAAATATGTGAGTGTGTAGTTTTCACTCTGATTTCAGATTATTTTACCAAACTCCTGAGGGAATATCTGTCTTTTCTAGCAGCTTAATGCTCGACTGTGTCCACCTGCTACTTGCTAACTTTGCCTGTCTACTGACTGGAGCTGGTCAGCTGTGGCACAGTGAGTTTTAGAGATTTTTTTTCACTGGAAACAGCTGCTGCAGAAAGCGATGACTTTTCTCTGAATCCATCTCCACCTGCAGCCTATACCATATAAAAGCAGGGGTTAAATCAGGATTTGGTTTGTGGGTGGCCTTTGTGGGTTCAGGGTTGCTCTTGGCGCACATGCGCGTGCTGATGACAACAGTGACAAAATATTTCTCCATATGATGTATGCTGTGTTTAGGTGCAATATTGGTATGTGAGACCCCTGCCATGCCCTCTGGTTGGTGAAGAGCTTCTACAGTCCCCAGGGTCCTCACCACTATCTACCATCAGATCCCCATCTAAATTCAGCAGCTGCTGCTGCAATCCTTCATCCCTCTCTTTTTTCTTTTTCCATCTCTTGTTAGCTCTTATTCTTGCCTGCAGTTGATTGTCTTTCTTGTTGTATGTTTCCCACCTCTTCCCTCTGTGATGTACAATCTTGATTGTATTTCACTCTAAGCCTCTCTTTTTTGATTTTTCTTCTTTCTTCACTCTTCTCTGGTAATTGTCTTCTTGTTTTGATTCGGTTCTGCTCAGTCTTGTGCTTAATTGGCGATTCTTTGCCCTTCACCAATGATTCTTACAGCTTCTGTTTATTATTGCAGTTTTTAACTCTCTCTTTGTGTCTCTCTGTTGTTTTCCCAATATTACTTGTCTTGGTCTCTCTCACCCTGACTGCAATCCACTGCCTCCTTGTCTTCTGGCAGACAGCAGCAGGGTGCAGGCTGGACAGGCTATGTGGGTGTTTGACATGGCACATAAAGCTGAGGGCCATGAACAATCTCTGCATGTACATGCATAATTGGATGTGTTATTTGCACCCATGCATGTGGACACAAACACACACAAACAACCACGCTTAGGCGCTTGCGTCTGTACACTCTTTACTTCCCATTCCAGCATCCAGCAGTAAATCAGCATCCACTCACATAATTGAAAAGACATCTGTTAAATTATACAAGCAGACAAACAAGTGAATGTGTCTGTACCTGGGTGGGCTGACAGGCCTGGCGGAGAGATGGACATGCAAGATAGAGAGCTTACAGAATGTCCAGTACATGTGTGCTATTATCATATTTATGCAGTGCAGAAAACAGATTAGCGCTTTAACAGTGGAGCCGGCAGAACAAATGATTGGCAATGGGCTGTTTTTCATCCAGCTTACATAACTAACTCGTTTTATTCACCCCGATGAAGAACGCATCATGATTCCACCCTCCCTTTCTGTTATTTAGTAGGGTTTGCATGTGTTTACTGTGTAGTGTTACAAATGGCTCATTGGGAACAGAGTCAGTCCTAATCAGTTCTGATGGGGAGCTAGTTTGTACCTGCAGCTGTGCTTTCAGCACTTGAAAACAACAGCTACACAGTTCAGCTTATTAGGGAAGTTGAATAGAAAATGCATAAAATTGGAGCTTGGATTTTGCCAGACTGTCTCCATACTCTGTCACGTACAAATTATTTTATGGAAAGCTGGGACTGTAAAGTGGGAGGTCGTTGTGGGAATGCTCCCACTCACTGTCATTTGCTCTGCAGTAATACAGCCTGATTTTTAACTACAGTTCTTGGGAGTGGCATAAAATGTTTTTTGTTTTTTTTTCTTCTTGCTGAGTACAGAAACCTTTTCCTTATGAAGTAAAAGAGGAAAAACATCTTGATTCTCTTCTCTTTCTTAAAATAATCAGTCTCATCTAATTTCTATATCATGGTGAAGCTTTATTTAAAATGTTCTTACTTGAGGCAGGTGATTTTTCAGTGTTAACTGTGGCAACACTGGAAGGGATCACAAGCTACTGTGTTTAAAAAAAAAAGAAAACAAAAATCAGTAATTTTATTTTCAAGGTAATGACAGTGAAATGCTGAACTAATGCACTGTCAAGTAGGTTGAAAAATCCAGTAACACAGGTATTCCTACAACATTTAATTAAAAAAAAAAAGTGATCCACACTGACTTAAATTCTGATAGAATAGAGAGAAGTGCACCTTTTGAAAAAACAGCTCGTCAAACAGAATTCAAAACAGTTGTGAAAATCAAATAGCAGTGACTCCACTCTGATTAGTTAGTTGGAGAGATTTTCTGCTTACTTGATCAAAAGTCAATTTTGATGCTCTCAAATGCTAGTATTTGAGTTGATTATACCTCATAAATAAGGCAGTGACTAATGACAGAGAAAAAAAATTGACAACTATTTCATTTGATCAAATTGACAAGAAGGCTGAAAAGGCACATTCTGTTTGTGGGTGTAAAATAACATTTCACAACTTACATTTCTTTTGGACTGCTTGACTAAGTACCCGAAAGTTTCAAATAATTTTTCCTCTTGGGTTTTTATCCTTTATTGTCCCTTCACATAATCCATTATTGATCATACAATCAAATCTGTGACAAATCTGTTCTTATTGCAGCAGGGGAAATTCTTGTACACAAAATGACAAATAAGCGCCACAAACCAAATACCACAAACCACAAGAGCATCCATCTTTTAAAGCCTGTAACAGAATGTATTATTCAAGCCACTGATAAAATTGTCTGCTTTGGGATTTTGTGTTTAGCTTGCTGTTGACTTTGTCATTTGGAAGGTTGAGTAGCAGCAGGGCCCGTCTGTAATACTTGCAGGAGGTGCAGGGGATTATTGGTGTATTTTATCCAAGACTGCTGGTGCAGTAATAATCATGGTTTAGACCATCATCCTGGGCTCTATGCCTTTCATGCAAAGGGCAGAAATGCATGTGCTGACTAGAATGTCACTTTCCTTATCGTAGATTAAGTAACAGTAAAAGGCATAAGCACGGCAATTGGCGAGCATGTTAGGACCAATCAAAAATAATATCATGCAAGATGGTGCATAGTGTGCGGCAGCCTGTTCTGCTTTTTCCACACTTTTCCATTTATAATCCCAAACATGTGTTTTGTTTTAATGATTTCCCAGCACGATCAATCTTGTTTGTTTAATCTTTATAGCAATAATAGCAATAATAATGCGTTATCCCCATAGGGGAATGGATAATGAAAAGAACTGTTCGTTGCAGTGCCACTTTCAGTTATATAGTAAAGACATAAAATCCCCCTCAAAAAATTCTACAAAAAGCTTTGTCATGAAAGAAATGCTAAACACTAAGCAGAGTCAAGCAAACTGAAGAAAACTTGACTTGTAAAGGCCATGCGCCTCTCAGAAAGACTAAATATGTTTGGCCAGATAGATGTACAGTCCCTCTAATGTGTCTGCTTCTGGCAGAGAATTTCCACAGGGTTTGTGGGTGGTTGAGATGGTCGTGCACAAATTCAGCTACTGTGAATTTTATACACATATACAGCATATGCCTCCCTGCACCGCCTACACACACATATACACGTACACTGTGCATAAAATTAGGCCTGTCAGACATGTTTTTCGAAGGAGACAAGACTGCTCTCAGTCACTATATTCACCATCACCACCAGAGCTTGTCCAGTGTGTGACTAAATATGCTGGACTGAGTGGTTGACTGCATGTCTGGGTTAACTGGCTTTATAGCTGAGTAGTGCTAGCTGGCTAATTAACCGGCTGACTTACAATGCAAGCCTCGTTAGCACAGTGTGTCTGTTTGGTTGTGTGAGTTGCTTAATCCCAGACAGTCAGCTAGATGGCTGACTTGTTCAGTTCCTCCCTGATGCCAGATTGCTGGTTGAGGGACTTGGCAAATCAGAAAAACAGCCTGTATTGTTTTTTCCTCATTCTTTCTTAGTGCATTTTTTTTCTCTCATACGGTCCATCTCACGTGCAGACACAGGTTTTAGGTCATCTGCTTTCTTTTGCCCTCTCTGCATTTCCAGTCCCCTGCTCTGCTCTTCCACTCCACTTTCCTCGCTCAACTCTCATCACTTCACTCTTCAAGTCCTTGAACGCTACCTCTAATGGCTTCACTTCAGATGTAATCTCTCTTTCTCTGTCTCTCCATCTTTCTTGGGGTGAAACAGCCCTTTTGCTCAAAAGTTCCTTGCTGCAGTGCACTCATTCAGAGCATCCATCGCCCCTCAATAGCACAAAATACACACAGGATGCATACTGTACTACTCAAAAGGAGACAGATGGGACTCTTAATGTGATATATGCACTGTTAGTCAGGCCGAACAAACACAGATGGACACAGCGCCTATAAAGCATGTTCACTACGCGCTAAGGAAATATTATTGTGACGCTTTTTTTTAACAGTGGCAATATGGGTTTACATAATGCTTTAGTGATAAACATGATGTGGAAGGTCTCCCCCTCCCCGTCTCTCTCTCTCTCTCTCTCTCTCTCTCTCT